GTATCATCTGAAACATGGAAGTAGCTACATGCCCATTAGCCCACAGCGTCATTAACAGGCGGCTCGCTCAGTGTGTGACGTGCACTTGGAGATAAAATATAGGCCTATATTAATGAAGGTTCATTAGTACGGTTTTGTATTTCTCTGTAATGTAGCACAGTGTTAACAATGTTACTGATACTATTCTTTCTCACACCTTCAACTCAAACCACCAAAATATATCATTTAATCATTACATTCATATCAGAAACATGCAGGAGACTAGTCCACTGATGGACCCTGATGACGACTGTTGGTGTACTAGAAAGATTCTATGTCGGGGGGGCAGCCCTAAAAAACAGTAAAATAAAATGTATGCTATGCCAATCCTATGTATCTCTGAGAAAATAACAAAAGTCACATCATTTGAGGCGTCTGGGCTTCATCTCGAGACAAACAGAGAGCCTGGAGATTCTGAGATGTGCATGGGTACTTACCATGCAGCTATCCTGTTGCATTATGGGAACTGTAGGATAACGTGTTTTCAGAAAAGTCAGGATATCTTGGCCTCTGCTGCTTTGATTTATTCCTTTCTCACAAGTCTCCTGTACAATATGAAGTTGTCGGAGTATTTAATGATGCGTGTCCTCTAGGACATCTTTAGATGCAAGGGGTCATTGACTCTTTCCAACAATGGACACTTGATGAGCCAACCACTAGGCATGTGGGCTGTGACAAAAATAGTCCACTGAATTGTGTTTCTGAAACATTTGAGACAAGAACAACATGGATCTGTCTTCATTTTAGTTCAGCAACAGCAGTGGTTCCCAACTGGTGGGTCACGGGTCCGTTCTGAATGGACCGCAGGTGACTCACAAACATGTTAAGTTTGTAAGAAAACACACTTTATTTTTAAGTACAGTGAATTGCCGGCACAGAGCTTTTATTTTGAAGTGCCGTGTCGTGCTGTAGAATGAGTGACGAAGGGACAGCTGCTTGACAGAGACAGCAAAGTAGCCCCAACAACATGGCCAAACGCCAGTATGATGCTGAACATATTTAACTGTGTGGACCTTGAACTAAAGAGTAAGGAGAAATCTGGACCCTGTGGCTGCACCAGTTGGGAACTACAGTTAGTTTAAAAGTTTTTGGGGAGTTTCCAGAGGCAGCAAGTCACACTGGAAGCCCCTGATTTGCATAACGTAGCCTAAAATCGACATTATGCAAATGAGGAGCAGTTGCCTTGTCTCTTGAAACACAACAAACCTGAACTTTGCGCTCAGCTTTACGGAGCTTTTTAGCATCTTTGTGGTCACTGTTTTGGTTTTAGAGCCTAAAACTTTATTGTTTTAGGTTTACGTCCGTTTACAGCAGTTGCATTTGCATAAAACATAAAATTAAAAACAACTTTACAGCGTTGATATGACGTCAGATGTGCTCAAAGTGTGTTGCGCTGCCTCCTAGTGGTCATAAAATCAGTAAATAGAAGTTTGAGTGAGCTCTTCCTGTTCTCTGCCATCAGTCTCATGCGGGCAGCCCCCTGTGGTGAAGGATGCTCGTGTGTTCGGGGCCATGAAGCCTCGCTACGAGATCAGTACCCTGCTCCGCTATCACTGTAAACAGGGCTTCATCCAGAGACACGCCCCAACTATACGCTGCCGGGCCAACGGCCAGTGGGACATGCCCAAAGTCACCTGCACAAGCCGTGAGTGTTTCAGACTCTTTGGTTCACAATCACAAGGCTGTGTGTACTGTGCAACATTTAGAAATGTTTTCACTTCTAATGCTCTTTTCCATCCGTCTTCTCAGCCGCCACCTACCACAGGTCAATCAGTCTCCGGCGCCGCAACAACCAGAACAACGAGCTACAGAACCTGCGCTATAACCACCACATCCATCACACCAAGAGTCATCAGAAACACAATCAAAACCAAGAGCAGCAGAAGAGTTACAAGTTCTTTCAGAGCTTGTGGACCCCTTTCCAGAGGGAGAAGAGGCACCAGCAGCAAACACACGTCGGGGACCAGATGAGACACTGATTGGGTTTGTGGGTTTGTAAATGAGTGTTGGCAGCCGAGCACAGTAGGCTGGCTACGTCGGTCCAGAGGCATCGATAGACAGAGAGACAAACTGTCTATCAATGTCTCTCTGAAGGACAAGAGGCGTGTTTTACCTGTGCATTGTCCCCAGAAACACTCCAGGATCTGAACTGTAACACTAGAGAGATTTAAGTTTCATGTGTAAAGTTAGCTCACTGATTATATCAAGTCACAACGCTCTAAACAAGACGGCTGGTGCCTTAATGGCTTCACTGTGTGGTCGTCTTAATGCACCACATCAGCGGCCTGTGAGTCAGAGTTCATGACCTGGCAGAGGATCTGAACAGTCTGTCAGTCCGTCTTATTTTAAAGGTGCCCTGTGGATGAAAATTAACATTCATTGTTTTGTATCCTTGAGGCCTCACAAGTTTTTCACAATAATCACAGAAATATTTGTGGTTTATTTTTATAAGAGCGAGCCCTGTAGTTTAGAGACTTTACATATTGTTACTGACAGACTATAAAGCACAGAAGCATAATGCATTCACTGAAGAAAAGAAATCACGCTCTGTTTTTCGAGATTATTATCTCACAACTATGAGAAGTTTTTATGGGAAATATTCTGCTGTCGTTTTTTCTGAATCAAGAAGATAATCTCAGACAAACAAGAATATAAGAAATTATTATCTCGTTAATTCGGAAAAACGAGCAGATTTTTTTCCGTGAACTTTTTTTCACAAAATTCTAAGATAATAAACACAAGAATTGGCAAGATTATTATCTCGTTAATTTAGATTCAGAATTTATAAAAAAAAAAAATTAATTACGGATAGATCATAATCTTGTAAAGAAAAACAGCAGCTTTTTTTCGAATTAAATGTTTTTTACGGAATTTTAAGATGAAAAAAAAAACAAGAATTCACAAAATATTTTAATAAATTAACAACAGGTGATAATTACTCATTTTTTTCATGACATTTTGTCTCAGAATCCTGAGATTAAAAAAAAGAGAATTTCCAAGATTATTTATCTTGTAATTTATGAGATTATCTTGTTATTTTAAAAAAAAGGCAGATTTTCTTTAATAAAATGTCATCTCAGAATTTTGAGATAATAAAAGAACAAATATTTCCAGGATTATCACCTCATTAATTTACAAGGTTGCTATTTTGTTAATTCAGAGAACAAAAGCAATTTTTATTATTCATAGAATTTTTTCTCAGAATTCTAAGATGATAAAAACAAGTATTTTCCAACATTATTATCTTCTTCATTTAGGAAATGATTATCTTGTTAATTCAGAAAAACAAGAACAGATTTTTTTCTCAGAATTCTGAGATTATTTTTAAAAAAAATAATTTACAAGATGATTATTTTAGTCATTTATGACATAATTATCTTGTAAACTGAGACAAACAAGAGTACTTTTCTTAATTTATACTTTTTTTTTTCAAAAGTGAATTTACAAGATTATCATTTCGATAATTCAGAAAAACGAGCAGAATTTTTTTCCGAAAATTTCCACTCAGAATTCGGAGATAATAAAATAACAAAAATTTGGAAATCATTACCTCATTATTGTCGAGATTGTTATTTTTTTAATTCAGGAAAATGAGAGCAAATATTTTATTCATACATTTTTTTCTCAAAATTCTGGGACAATAAAAAACAAGTATTTTCCAACATAATTATCTTGTTATGTACAAGATTATTATCCTGTAAATTTAGGAGATAATTTTCTTGTAAACTGGGACAAACAAAAGCACTTTTTTTTTATTCATAAAAGTTTTCTCGGAATTTTGATATAGCTAAAAAAAAAAAAGAATAAAAGATTAATAATAAAAAAGATTATTAATATTGATTATTATCTCCAGAATTCAGAAAAACAGCAGAATTTCATTTTAGAATTCTGAGACAATAATCTTGTTAATTCAGAATAATATTTCAAATATTTCTTTCTGAAGTAAATGCATTATGCTTCCATATTAGAGAGCATGAATTCATCACTTTAAATTATTATCATAGAGCATTTTCCACTTTGTCCAGTTTCAATTTATTGTTGCTTATCAGGACCCATTTTTACTGGCTAATTTCCACATGTAGATTTTTGTACAAAATATTTTTAGCTGAGAAAAGTTTTTTAAATAAAAAGGAGAGGTGAGATTTAAAGAGACAGCACACAGAGCTGGAGGGGAGATTATTATGAATGTGTGTGTGCTGTGGCTATTAATCATAGGATATATAATATAGATACTATATGAAGCCATATAAATTTAACTTATTGTATACTTTAAAACTATGAATGGACTGTGATATTAAATAAAGGTCATTGGAACTGAAGTGATTCTGTTAATGATGACTTTCCTTGCTGTTTACAGATCTGATCATGTAGTACATCAGCTTGTCCAGGTGCTTTTTAATGTGCTGTGACTCAAAATCAACCCAACAAATTCACCACCAAACCGCTCCGGATTGTTTCACTCATTTTCTACAATATTCAGTCACAAGGTTTTACGTTAGCGGTACTGTAGATATTGCTTTTTGCTACAGATCTGGAATCTGTGTTTTTAATCCAACAAATAAGGGAATGTGAAACAAGATGTTTTTATGTGACCTTCTCCTCTTCATGTTCTGTATACATCTTTCATTTTATATATTGTTTGTCAATGTATATGCATTTTTTTAAATGTTCTTTACTCCATGTGGTTGATGGGGTTCACTGTATCTGTGGCACAAGAGCTCATTTTTATGTAATCATTGTTTCTTTCTTCATTTGAGTTACTGTAAAAAAAGAAAGTTTCCATCATCCTGGTTTCAGTGTCATTGTCAGCTGAGTGTGCAATAATAGGAACTATTATAACACAACCTGTCTTTGTGCAGTTTCATTTTACAACACTTTATTAAATGACAATTTATTTTTTCTAATTGTTAACAAATCCCATTAAAACACCAAAACCACATCCCAGACGCCAGAATAAATGTTGGAATTGTACGTTTCTGCAACACCATGTTACATTAGTGTATTAATGATACTAGTTACCTGGAGAGGTTGGAAAAAGATTTCTTCCCTGTTCCAAAACCAAAATCAAACCCTGAAAAGTGTAGGGTTAGCTAGCTAGCTACTGAAGATATAGCCTACTGAATGTATACACATGCTGCTTTTGCTTTTTAATGATTACTAGTCCATACCCATTGAGTGCACAGTTGCCCACGTACAGTTTCACATGGTGTGTGTTTGGGATACAGGTCATAGGAAACTGCAGATTAAATAGTCAACTGAACCCATTAAGAAGAGCAATGTATTCAGACAGAGTTTTTGTGAATTTGATAGTACGATGTCTGATGAACAATTTCCTGAACCTGCTGTCCTACTATTCGGCCACAGGGGGAGCCACAGTGATCGGTCACATTTTAGCCATTTTGAAGCATTTTTCTGTTGTTATAGCGCCACCCAGTTGCCAATTAGAGTTAAATTTCTCCAGTCACCTTGAGGCGTCCTGTTCTACATATCTACCAAGTTTAGTAAAAATCCATATGGCGGTTAGGCCTAGATAAGAAATTAGCCTACAAAGTTGCGTGGTGATGGGTGAAACCCTTGAGATGTTATACACCTTTATGTGATGAGCCACGCCCTCCGCAATATTCATTGCCTTATAGAAGCTCAGTTTTAGTAAGTTTTCCAACTTTTGCCAAGAGGGAACTTTAGATATTGGTCCCTAGATTATGTTCACCCAGTTTCATGCAGATCGCTCAAACTTCCTAGGAAGAGATCCATTTGAAGTGTTTTTCAAAAAATTCAAAATGGTGGAAAATCTATATAAGTGGAAGTTATGGGTTCTTGAGGCAAATGTGTTCCTCATGAGGAGAGGCATCTCTGTGCAAAGTTTCATGTCTCTACGACATACGGGGAATGAGATATGACCATTCAAAGTTTGCAATTTCAATCGGTTGCTATAGCGCCCCCCTTTGGCCAATTGATGTAATATTGCTTCATTGGCATCCTCCCATGACCCTCTACCACTGTGCCAAATTTCACATGGATTGACCAAGTCAGTGAGGAGAAAAACCTGGAACACACACACACACAGACAGAGTTTTCGTCATTATATAGTAAGATAGGATAACAGTGAAACAAAGACCGGCCCTGCTGTACAGGAACCAGTGAAGGGAAGCAGGGAAACTTTGCTGATATTCAACCAGCTGTGTGTCATCGCAGTGTGCGCAGATATACGGCGTATGGCTTCCCCCGAAGATCCCTGGGCATTCGGCGGCAGAGGACCGAGTCCTGGCAGCAGTGGTTCACTTTTACACTGTGATCTGTAGCCTATAGTTCGGCTTTAGCTTCTAACTATCTTTGTCTTTTTAACCTGTTGTTGCTGCTGAGTCAGTTTGACATCCTGTATATATCCTTCAAACACAGACTGTAGACCCCTCTGTCTGCTTCTCTCTGGAATCAATGTTTCATTTTTCAAAAATATGATAATGTTTCTTCAGGGAGCGCAGTTAGTGACAGTGTGGGCTCCATGCTTACTGTGACAGCTTGTCAGACGGGGCTTAGCGAAAGGTCAGTTGCCGCTGATGTCTCGCTATTATCTGATGTTGTTTGTTAGATTTGAAGAGTGGTCTGTAGCTCGGCAGCTTTCTTGCTTAGGTTTTACATAATCCAGCTCCTCCAGCTCCAGATGTCAAAGTCGGCTCATATGTAATCAGAAGTAAATCACTTTAGAAACGTTGATATGGTACCTATGAAACGTGCAAATGTAACATATCAGTGGTTTGCAGAAACTTACAATGCCAACATTTTCCCCTGGCGACTGGGCTGTGAAAACCAACATGGCACATATTGGAACATTTAGCAGTTAAAGAGACAGATATTTGCCTCAGGAGCTGGTGGAGACCAAAAACAGAGCTAAAAGAGAGAATGTTGGACTCGGACTGTTAAAGCAATTGATAATATGTCTATGTTGTGTTTATAGCTCATTCCACTGCCCCCTATTGGTCAAAAGATATTACTGTAGCTTTAAAAAACGGCTCACTAATATATGGTTTGATTTTTATAAAAACGCTAAATCATTTCTCAGGAGTCTTTCACATCAGTGACCCGGGCCTGAATACAAGTACTCGTGACCACAGAGCCCATTTCATTTGGGCATGTTATGTTGATCCAAGCCTGGGTCCACTTGTAAATCATTCATGTATCCAGGTACAGTTGGCATCAGGCGTGAAAACCAGCTGTACCAAAACACGAAAGTGAACTGCTTCATATCAGGAGCAGCAGTTGGCCAGTAGAGTTGCAGACGAATTTGTCAGCACTGCTGGTCTCCTCTGAAATCTGTGCATGTCTGCAGTGTGAGCTGATCTGGGTGTTGGGTTGATGAGGAACGAAGGCGAGATGGTCGTTCTTGTCATCTCCAAAAAAACATTAACAAATGTCACGTGAATGATGACACCATTGTTCTCTGTTAACTGCTGAGAGGGGGGGCAATCGCACTTAGGTATGGTGTGAATTCATCGTACCTAAAATGAAAACGCCTGTAAAGCAGCTGGTCGCTGTGCATTGCAGCAAATGTTGCTTAAAGAGTAACTTAACAGCAGGCTGGAAAGTTGAATTTTGCTGCCCTCTCTGGCTGAAGGTTTCAGGCCTGTTCGACCCTCACCACCCAGAAACACTGATGTCACAGAGTCCTGGATCACGCCTCTACATCTCTGCAGCAAGGTAAGAAGTTAAGCAAGAACAAGCTGTGTTAGGAGCTGTTAAGTTATTCTTTAACCAGGATTTGTTGGGGACTATTTTCAGTGGCGGATTAATCCACATTTGGTGCTCTAGGGCGTTTTTGTGGCTGCAGGATGGTGTATGTAGGATTGACACAAAATAAACTAGTGTGTGTGTTCATGGCGATGAAGAATAATGTCAATGACTCACTGATGTGTTTTTCTTACAATTGTGGAGCTGTATGACACAGAGGAAGAAGATATATCAGGCTGTAGATACAAACTAAACTCAGTGTTTTTTGTTGGGAATCTGTCACAGTAAGAAAAATATATAATATTAACAGATTTTTCTTTCAGTCACTGTGGCTTGTTGGTCAGCAGATGGCGCCTCCTGAGTTGAGGAGTTGCTAAAAAAAGATTAATTTCGAGCTTTTATTTAGATGTTTACCTTTCTAATACTGGAGGAAAATAGATTTAATTGCATTCTGATAAACGGTGGTCTGACACCTGCCTCTCAAACAAACAGCCTCTGAGAAACCAGCGTGTGAACATGAATCACCATAAAACCCAGCACGTCACCAACATGCCGTCACTCAGGTCCTTAAACAACTCCATGCTTCGCTGTGTTTCAGTTACAAGATCAACTGAAAGCAGCACCATGAATGGCGTCGGTGTTTCTGGCGTGCAGCACCCCTCCCTGTGGAAACATTACTGCATTACCTAGGAACTACACCTGGCACTGTGTGCGAGGCGAGCAGCCATCCTCAAGTCAATTACAGCCCCGGCTCCAGCCGACGTGAACTCTGCTGACTTTTATTTTTTATTTTTGCTTGACTGCAGTGTGATTGCTCATAAGTTGTCATGATGTATTTGGGATAATAGGCGAACTCAATGAGCCCTGTGTAAAGAGACGGAGGCAGAGACGTGGTTTATGTACTGTTTTATTGTCCTTTTGTCTTTGGGTCCCACAAGGTTTCCTTGTAATGCTGCAGTTATTAACAAGGCCGGCAAAGTTGGTCAGATTACACACAGAGTAAAAAGGCAACAGATGTGGGCTGTCTTTAAATCTTTTCAGGGGCAGTTTGGCATTTTGGGAAATACGCTCTCATGTCTGTACACTAAATATGAAGCTTTAGCCAGCGGGCAGTTAGCTTAGATTAGCATAAAGACTGGAAACAGCTAGTCCAGCGTTTAAAAATACACCTTACAGCACCTCTTAAGGTCACCAATTAATATGTTACATCTTATTTGTTTAATCCATCCAACAGCTGAGTTAGCTGGTTAGCTTTAGGCCTTGTCTACACTATAGAAGGATAAAATAATACGTAGCTACCGTGACATCATCCATTGTTTTGTGAGCTCTCATTGTGAAGCCTCGAGTATGGCATTTCAGTCGTCACCATCTTGGTTTTGGGAGCCAGAAGTGACCATATTTGGGTGCAAGGCTGGAGTTGTGCAAGAGCAAGATGTGGATCTGACTTGGATGCGGCCACACCCTTAATTATGCGTAACTTTAGCCTTAATAAAATGTAAACGTGCGAGTTGTATAAACATTCACCCTCTGTACAGTTGTCATGAACGGGTAAATTAACTATAGAGCTTGAACATGTTTATTTCTGCTGTAAAGTTGGGCATTTTATCATTGAGGTCTATGAGGATTGACTCACTCTTGGAGTCAGCCTCAAGTGGCCATTAGAGGAACTGCAGTTTTTGGCACTTCAGCGTTGGCTTCAGATGTTGCTGCTTGGTCTACATGAATACAGTTATTTTCCTCCATGTTTTGGCCTCTCGTCTACACGCAAACAGTTTAAGTCACTAAAATAGAGATGTTTGAAGACACCTCAGTCAATACACTCTCAATCCGACCTTGTCACATATCGACGTTTGGTCATGGACCTTCCACGTCCACATATGACGTGAAAGGTACCCTGGGTGTGTTGGTTGTTGATGTTCTGGGACGCCGTGTCACGTTCTGCCTGTTACATGCATTGTCGTCTTTCAAAATACACAGTTTTCTCTTTCATAAATACTGCGTCAGTACAACTACGCAAATTAAGGGTTTGGCTTTAGAATCTTAAGCGTAAATAGCCCTCCCCTCCCCTCCCTCCCACCCTACTCAGACTTTCGCTGCTTTAACTTTTGTTCTTGTCCCACCGCGTTTCCCCCTGACACCGCCAAGCACCATTAAACTATAACGGCGACTGGCCGAGTATCATGCCGACGTTAAAGGACAGCTTTTTTCGTCAGTGTGTCACCACTGACACCACAAGTCACTGCCGAAGCACCGGATTTCGACGACTTCAGAGGGAGAACTTTGTGTCTGTGTGGACGTGTGAAAGGGAGCGTGAGAAAGTTGACATCATCTCCTCAATTCACAAATGCCCATTGCTTCTTTGTGTAATGGGCAGAAACAGCAACGACAACAGCAGACTATGGGTTTGTTTATTATTACCTTTTCGTCCGTCCACACATAAGCCACATTACAGTTTCTCTACAGCACTTTAGGCCGTGGACCTGAAAGATGTTAAGTAAGTAGGAATCAAACGTATGAATATGTATGAATAAAGAAAGTTAGCTACTATTGTTTGACTTGTTACAGAATTTTCCTCACGGTTATTTAATGTATTGTTGACGCAGCCTTTATTGCCACCTACTGGCCTGGCAAGCAAGACCCGAGGGATAGCACCAAGCTTTGAAGCCATAGTGGCCAAACGTGGAATTACAACTTCCTGGTCCATCATGTGATGTCATTGGGCCCAGCAAGACTTTTCCCCATAGATTTACATTGTGAAAGAGGCGTTTGTAAATCATTGGATACATTTTTTTGAGCTTCACAACCCCCACAAAATGACTCGTTTCACTATCAGGATTTGATCCATTCAGTCCAATAACATTTCAAAATTCTAGATGAGCCTCATGATTGAATTTACTTTTATTCCCATTCAAGTTACCGCTTTTTCGTGTCATGGAAATCTACTTTTTTGGCTTCGAGCACCACTGAGCAATGTTTATAGGAATGAACGGCAACACCTCTCCAATGCTGTATCCAGTTCTCTTTCTAAATCCATAACGTGGACAGAGATATTTTGTAAATGATGGTCGTGTGGACAGAATTTTTACTTCAAATGGAAGGCAAAAAAATCTGATTTGGATGATGTCCATAGACATGTAGCCTTAGTTATGTCGTCAGAGCTAGGCTAGCTGTTTCCCTTTGTTTCCAGTCTTTATGCTAAGCTACGCTAACCAGCTGCGACTGTTGCTTCATAATTAACGTACAGATCAAAGTGGTGTGAATCTACATCTCTTCTAATCAACATAACATATGTTTTTGTTTAACGTGAACACAAGCATAAATGTAAAAACAGGAAGTTGTGGTTTCATGGGGAGTTACAAACTCTGACGTCCTCAAGTATTTCAGTGAGGTTGCACTCCCCAAAATGTCAAAGTATCCCTTTAACAATCTGACAATTAACATTGTTTGCAAAATGTTTACAATAACTGAAAATAATACAAGTTAAAAGGAACCTTTTTTTTGTTTTGTAATCCCTCAGAAGACTCTTCAGTGAGTGTTTCACTTCACAGCTGCTTTTCTGTAAAATCACTGTTAAGTTTCCCACATTGTCTAATCGTTACTGAGATCTATTTATACAAGTCTGTCCACCAGTTCTGCAGTGATAAGTGTGGCTGATTGTTCAGTGGCTTGTCAAAGGTGGAGCCAAGTAAAGCTGACCGTGTACCAGGCCCAAGTGGATGACCTAAACCAGTATCTGGGCCAGCTGGGCCTGCGTACAGTGAGCTTACACTTGATCAATGTGCACCGATTACTCTCTGATAACCTTACATGGAAGAAGCCCTTTGTGCCTCCACGCAGGAATTATTGGTATTTTGAATGTATTGTATTTCTGTCTCACGCAGCAGGCTGGGTGCAGGTTGGCTGCAGGCCCGCTGTGTCGGCTGGTTCAGAGTCTCTGCAGAGCTCAGATAACAATCAGGGCGCCAGTCGCTGCCAGGAGAACCATGCTCACTCTGTGACCTCAGCACTTTGTACGTTACTCCATGATTCAGCAACGCAAACCTCACGGGGAAAATCTGCATATTTTTATTTGCATTTTATCCAGCTGCATCTTGGTTGCACAGATGTCTAGTGTGTCATCAAATGTGTGAACTTCAGCACCTGGCGTTGGTTTGGTTTAGTCTCTGACAAAAATGTACCTTTTTAATTTTACGTCATCTGCACACTCTTTGTGTTCAGAGAGAACACTGAGCAAATTTTTGAGAACATCAAGCAGCTTTTAGACGTGGAAAGATTGTGGACAAAGTCAAAGATGCAGATTCACCCAGGCAGCATAATTTCACGCATGCCAAAAATGTCTCAGCTTGAGCTAAAAACCTGCGTGAATCTTGGCACTTTATGAATCATTAACAAAAAGAGAATAAAATATATATCAGGAGTTTCTGGTGAGTCAAAGGTCCTGTATTCAAATTTGTGCAAATACATAAGGTGAAAATTCCCTTCGCTGTCCGCCTGACAGCACCATGAGACTGCAGCTGTCGCATTATTTGATATGTTGTTGCCAAAGTTAAAGCTTTTGTTGAATACAGTTGTCATTCTCTCACGTGTCTAAGCTTAGACGAGCAACCAAAGGGTCATAGAAACAGAGATCTAGATGAAGATTTAGACTTTTGACAGCCGACATTAATCCTGAACTCATTCCTGCCGGTAGTCTTTGGGATTGTGGATGAACTGGTCCATGAATCTGTTATATTTTTTCTCTTCCCAAGACTCATTGGCATTAGCTAATATTACTGTCAGAGACATATCTTTACCAAAATGAATGATGTTGCCCTTAAGTGCACCAGGTCAAGCAACTAAATCCACCTCTGAATTTGAGCGGCATAGTTGTTTTACCAACGTCTGATTCCACCACTGAGTCTACACTAAAACATTAATTAATAAATGTCCATTCATCAGGCACTATCATCATCATTTAGTTTTTATTCTTGGACAGAACCATGCAATATTTTGTGTTCCCTCATAATAAAGTAGATTTTTTTTCTCACAATAAATTTAGCATTTTCTTGCAATACTTTTATGTTCTCTTACAATCAATTTTGCGTTCTTGCAATACTTTTGCATTTTATTAAGATAAATTTCTTGTTCCCTGACGATACTTTTGCATTCTCTCGCAATAAATTTTGGTTTCCATGACAATACTTTTGATTTCTCTCAAAATAAATTTTGAGTTCTCCCATAATCAGTTTTGCTTTCTCTCGCAATAAATTTTGTGTTCTCTGACAAAACTTTTGCATTGTCCCGCAATCAATTTTGGGACAATCAACAACTTATGTAGCAGTGCTGCAAAAACACTTTAATTTACAAGGCGATCTTTAACGCTATCTCACCAGAGTGACAACACAAATGCTGTGATTAAATCTAAAAGGAGTCGGACTCTTCTTGTTACCTGCAACCTAAGAATAGACCTATGTAACATTAATTTTTAAAGGTTTTACATCTTAACTGGACAGTTTGCTATCAACTACTGCGGTTTTCTTATCCTGTGTAGCTAAACGATTGCAAGAGAATGTCAAAATAATAATAATATTAATCACCTCGACCCTTGGAGGCTCCGTATGATACTTTTCCTGTCACAGAAAAAAAGGTTGTCAGTAATTAATTTTCTTAGTTTTTGTTGAAGAAAGTAACTGATCAGATGTTTGTAAAATTTCCACACTCTGCGCTGGCCACTACTATAGCTAACAAGTTTTTTTGTGTTTAGACTCAAGCAAAGATTTTATTCGTGGGATCATGAAAATACCTTAAAAGGTTCGATCCACTGCTGGATGACAGGTTAAAGAAACAAAGTTTAGACTCTTCCTCAAAGGTTTACCTGGGGAACCCTCTGAGTCCGATTCATGGAGTTACAAACGCAGGGCTGACGTCACAGATGAGGCCAGCCCGGGCTCTGCTCGTTCACTATAAGAAACTACAGTATTTGTATCAAAAATAGCAGTTTATCAAGGCGGTAGATAGATAGCTAGATAGAGTGTGTAGATCTACACTGACAGCTGCTTTGTGCTGGAGGAAGCTAAGTCATGCTCTGAAGTCTAAGATGAAGCCAAACAGAGAGATACAGCAACAAGAGTGACTCTGCAGCACAGTTCCTATTCATGCCAGGCATTTTCTACTGCTGCACAGGGCGAACTACTGTTTGCCTCGTCTCTCCTCCTTTAGGCATCTTCTACATATTCAGTGCAAAAAAATTCTTCTTTTTTTTTCCTTAGTATTGTGGAGTTTGTTTGTTTTTTTCCACCCTTATGTTACGCTTTATGTAAACCAAAGAGACTCAGATAGTTTGGCCAAGAAGAGAAAAAATAATAATGTAAATATTTCTACAGTATATCAAAAAATAGTCATAAACAGAATTACATTTCTAGATTATAACATTCTACATATTTAGAAAACATAAACAATGTTGGATTTTTCTTATTCAGTTTGGTGATGATGTTTGGTCCAACACATTCGTATAAAAACATAAAATACTGGACGGTAAGATGAAGTACAAAGTACCAGTCGTAGCACCTTGTTAAGTATGGACAGCAAAGATCGGTTTAGTTGTGCGAGGCTTGTATTCCTACCTGATGACAAGTATCACAGGGTTTTCTTTCAGCTGTGTTTCGTGGCTTTGTTGTTGTTGTTGTTCCAGGTCTTGAACAAAACAAGATAAGTGCCCAAAGTATCCGTCCAACCACAAGTCTTTCTGCTGTGAAACTGTTCTCAGTTCAGACGTGTTGTTCCTTCTTATACGACATGCCTGGTCCACTGAATGACAGTATGGCTGTAGCTGTGATATCCTCCAACCCTCACCCCCCAAAACAACCCACCCACCCCCTTCAAAGGCATTGATTAAATAATATGAACCTTAAATATGTGTAAACTAACCCTCAGAGAGTGTCAGGTCCCAGATTACAAAGCAACACCATGTCTGACAATAATGTCTTAAGGTTCAATGAAATAAAGCATCACAGTTTGAATGCGTCTCTTTTTCCACTAGTGTGTTCACTAGTGTATGAATGTGTGTGTGTGTGTGTGTGTGTGTGTGTGAGTGTGTGTGTGTGTGTGTGTGTGTGTGCATGCTCTGTGTGTGTTTGCAGCTCAGTTGTGGCCCTTGAAGCAATACACTCCGTACAGCTTGTGCTTTTTGTCGGGGAAGCCGTTGAACCTCACGGCAGCCTCCGTGGGGCTGCAGCGCCGGCGGGGTCGGGAGATGGGATAACGGACGCTGCCGTCAGCCAACCAGCCAGCGTCGCAGCGGTCGTAGCCTAGCAGCTTCCAGGCGGCGAACATTTGGCCGACCTTGGCAATCTGAGCACCATCTTTTTGACACGCCTGGACCGCCTCGTCGTAGGTTAACTTAGAGGGGTGGATCAGGTAGTAGAACCGACCTGGGAGGGCAGAAAGAGAAAGACAGATAAGCACAGAGGTATAAAAAAGGCAACTAGAATTAACTCCTTGAGGCTGTATGCCTCCGCAGTCCAGGCAAGGTACAGTTTATATCCATGTCTGTAAAAACATGGATGCTTCACACACATCTTCCCCGCGGCAGCACAGAAGATCTACACAATCAGCACAGTTTCAGGGTGGACACCCAAGATTCCATCCATCCATCTGTTTTCATCCACTTATGCTTGACCAGGTTGTGGGGGCACCCCAGACATCCCTCTCCCCAGCAACGCTTCCCACCTCCTCCTGGGGGACCCCATGGCGTTCCCAGGCCAAATGAGATATGTAATCTCTCCAGCGTGTTCTGGGTCTGCCCCGGGGCCTCCTACCAGTGGGACGTGCCCGAAACACCTCCAGCAGGAGGCGACCAGGAGGATCCTGATCAGATCCCCGAACCACCTCAACTGACCCCTTTCGACGCGAAGGAGCAGCCGCTCTACTCTGAGCTCCCTCCGGATGTCCGAGCTCCTCCTCCTATCTCTAAGGCTGAGCCCAGACACCCTACGAAGGAAACTCGTTTCGGCTGCTTGTATCCACAGTAGGGTTGGGTCAGTATGAGAAAAAAACGAAAACGGTCCGGTTTTTGTAAAAAAAAAAAAAAAAACGCATCAAGTCGGTAATACTGGATTTTCGCCACTTGGGGGCGCAATTGACTCATTTAAAATAAAAAACGACCTTAAGACAACAGAGTGACAGTAACAAGTTGTTTCTTTTATTCCTTACAAATAAATTTTGCAGCTTACTCAATCAGTGCAAACAAGGGTTGCCTCCTTCTTCTGGCTCAAAGCCAAAGTGATGCCATAGTGGCGCATTCTTTGATTTCTTTAAGACTAAATTGTCCGCCATTATCGACTCCCCGTCACTGTTAAACAAACTCCAGGCTACAGTAGAGGCCTCGGCGCATGCGCACTCGCACCCCCTAGCTCAGTCCCCGCCCCACCCCCCTCTCTCTCCTGCTCACTGTGCGCTTGGTGAAGAGGCAGACACAGGTGCTCACAGACTCGGGTGTACTATAAGCGGAGCGGACTCCATCTAAAAATGTATTTGAAAAATCCCCACAATGTGAAAAATACATGCCGAACAGTCTTTTGTGTGACACTGGTGCGCGGAGCAGAGTCCGCGCGGTCATGCTTTGCGCGCACAGGGCTTGCGGACGTCCACTTTTACCGGGCGGACCTCCCCGGAGTCCGCTCCGTGTATGTTCCGCCCAAGTATGCGGTCCGGTCGGTCTCAAAAAAAAAAAAAACCCAGTCCAAAACGGAGTACTGAACTGAACTGGTATTACCGAGAACTGACCCAACCCTAATCCGCAGTCTCATTCTTTCAATCACTACCCAGAGCTCATGACCATAGGTGAGGGTTGGGACGTAGATGGACCAGTAAATCGAAAGCTTTGCCAAGATAAGCGTGTTGATAATGGCCAGAAAAGTGTTTTTGCAGAATGTTCATCACTTCATCATTTTATCCTGTGAGACATTTGTGTCTTTTATGACTTTTGTCATATTAAGCGTATGAATTGCATATGAACTGAGTTATTTTTGAAGAAATTACCTCAAGGCCTTCTTGAGATACTGCATTTGCGACAATGGGACAGGTGCAAGGTCACAATGACCTTGATCTTTGACCTTTGACTACCAATATCTAATCGGGTCATTGTTAATTCCAAGTGGATGTTTGCACCAAATTCAAAAAAATTCCCTCAAGGTGTTCTTGAGATAAAGTGCTCACAAGAAGAAGACAGACAAGGTCACAGTGGCCTTTATCTTTGAATTGAATTAGTTTTAGGTTAAGTCCAGGTGGACCTTTGTGCCTTGAAAAATCACATTCACAAGAATGGGACGGACAGACAACCTGAAAACACAATGCCTCCAGCTGTGGGTATCGTTGGCACAGAGGCATAAAAATCAAAAGCATCAGAGCTGGCACAAATAAAAGTATCTTGTCCTCAGGCATTAAGCTTTTATCAGTGTAGGGTATCTATATCGATTAAATCTCCTTTAGGGACGTTATTGGAAGGGCAGCGTATTTCACCCTCCAGCCAGCTGCCATTTTGTCTGGGAACCACATGAATCTGCAAGCTCATGTTTTATTTGCTCTGGCAGATACCTCAGGTCTCCCCTCGCTTTGGACAGATTTCCAGGAGTCTGAAACCTGCCAGGTCAGTTACAAGCGTTTATCTAATGTAGGGCGTGTTTGAGACAAAGATTGTAAAGAGGAGCATCATTAAAGAATTGTAAAAAACGACAAAGATGGCTACAGCTGATGTGGAACTTTCTATTGAAGCTGCTATGCATCAGTACTGAACCAAGCAGGCAACCTTGGGGGCTGATAAATGAACACAAGTGCCAAAAACTGCAGTTCCTCTAATGGCCCCTTGAGGCTGGCTCCAAAAGCGAATCAGTCCTCATATATTGGGTATATTCAGGTACAAAAAATGGTTTTAGTCTCTATAGCTAATTTCAGCATTCATGACAACTGTACAGTGGTGAAGTTTTTTTATAACTCACCCGTTCACATTTTATGAAAGCTTAAAGTTATTTAAAATTAAGGCCGTGGCTGCTTTGAGTCACAGGTGGATGCCATCCACTGGCAAGTTGCTACCACTGCAACAACATTGGTTAGTCATAGCTGTCGCTATTTCAGTGTTTTTTCAGTTCACTTAAGTTAATTACTATGTTCTGGTCATCTAAAAAAGTATTTTTCCGCATTTGGTAGAATTAAAAAACCCTCTAAGGACTCGGATGTTCAGTTTTTTGGGAAAGTACATTTTGTCTTAATGGTTTTAAGCCTTTTTTTTGCTAGCAAAAATTAACATTAGCATAATCACAGTTACCCATAGACTGTAAATGCACCATGCTGGCCAAGCTAGCAGCCAGCAGCTAGCATTAAGGTTACCTCCACTCTTTGTCTACATATGGTCGCTCCTTATCAGTTCTGGCTCTAAATCCAAGATGGCGACAGCTAGAATGTGGAATTTGAGGCTTTAGAGTGGGAATCCACAAACCAATGCGTGACATCACAGTGGCTACATTCACTATTTTTTTTAACAGTCTAGGTATTGAACAAACTGGGAGGTATATTTTTGCTAAAAGAAGAATAATCAACTCAGGTATTTATACCTACATGAGTATTTCTATTTCCTGTTGGGTGACAGTTCTACTCCATACTTGAACTTTTTACTGCACTAGATTTATTTGACAGCTATTGTTATCAGCTACTTTGATTTTACACACAAAATGAACTGCATTAATTATATTAAAGGCCAGACATATGCTGGGATTTACATGATGAGGTCACCATGTACTAAAAAGGACAACACTGTAACTTGTCCCACAATTTGTGCACAGGAACAAAAAAGATTATGTATAATTACTTTTCCTTTTAATACTTTATGTACACTTTGCTGGGATTACTATGGTACTTTGGCTCAAATACAAGAACCAAAATTGTGGGACTTTTACCTGGAACGGAGTATTTGTAAATTGTGTTATTGTTACTTTTACAAAAGGAAACTGTCTTTTCTTTGTTTTCAGTCAACAGTGAAAAAGGTCTGAGCTACCAGCCTGCTGGGTTTTATTGGACTATTGTCTTTAGAAGCAACCTGGTTAAATCAAGGTAAACACACACACACACACACACACACACACACACATAGGTTATAACGTCCTTTACCTTTGTAGTGGGAGGTGAAGCAGAACACATCGTAGTGGTTCCCATCTTTGTCTCTCAGGCCGTAGTTACGAATGCCCGGCACCGTGTTCTTGCCTCCGCAGGGTTCTCTGGGTGTGACGATGGGATACTGGACTGAGCCATCGCTCAGCCAGCCGGCGTTGCACCAGTCCAGCTTTCCTCGCCACGCGTCGTACAGCTGGTCAAAGGAGGCCACGATGGCGTCCTGGTCACGACACGCCCGCTCAGCATCGTAGAAGTTGAGGTTGTAGCGACCCAGGCGGGGGAAGTAGGGGAAGACGACACCTACGGATGTGATAGATGACCTGCAGTTAGCAGATAGAACGAGGATCTGTCCTCCGGGGTTTGTATCTGATCCTGTTATTTAACCTAATGACCGATAGTGAAAGCGCGTCCCGCTGCGTAAGCACAGCTGTTTCCCTGCCAGCACTTTTGGCTGCGGGCAGTAATGGCTGATACCTCAAACATAATGAAGCTGCTCTGACACTGATGTACACTCTGCTTACAGAACACACTGGCTCCTGACTTTGCCCCGAGCACTCACTGCTCGTGCTGCTAAATTTAGTCTGACTGCAGCCTGTTACAGAGCCGTGACATTTAATAGACATTTTATTTTTAGGGTCATTTTAAAGAGTTCGTTCACCTTCCAGGTCGAGGGACACCACCACTGTTCCGTCTTCCAGTCCGTCGATAACTTCGCATTTATATCTCCCATAATCCTCCAGGGTGAGCTCTGTGATAACCAGAGAGGCATCCATGGGAGAAGAGCCCTGCAGGTGGACGCGCCCGTGGAAACTGCCGTAACTCCTTTTGTGATAATCCATGGCGACAAATACATCCAGCTGGAGCAAGACAGAGAGGATCAGTCTGTTATTATTCTAACAATTAATTTAAGATTGTAGAACAGATGAACTTTTACAGGTAAAAGGGTCAATGTATTTGGAATAATAATGGTTCATTATTATATTTTTATCACAGAGCAAGCAGGCTGATTCTTAAGGCCCTGACACACCAAGGTGATGGCCGACTGTTAGTCAGTGTCAGGCCATCGATGATTGTCTGTCGCCCTAGTTTTTGCAGTGTGTCCCGCAACACAGGCACTAGTCTGCCTTTTTTTTTTCAGCTGATTCAGTATGTTGAATCAACATCGGAGACAGCTGAGCTTTTCGGGGAGTAAAATCACTCTGATCAGAAGTTCAGCTCAGTGCATGAGAAGAGAAAGTGAGGAAAGTAAACAAATGGCTAAAGTCAAGAGGCCGTTATATCTAAACAAATTTATTATATTGGGTAAGATTACCTAGCCACAGTTTTAGCCATTGAACTCTTAGGCAGAACACACTGTCCAGAATCCAAAGCACCCAAGTCCCAAACATCACAGCTGAGAACTTCCTACTAAACTGCTACACTTGCATTCTCTAAACTTTTGCATTACGGACATCTAAAAACACAGTTAACCTACAGTAGTATTTTAAAATAAACAGTGACCTCTTTCAGGTAGTCCGAGGTCAGCTTGGTCCATTTGATCCTCATCTTCCGACTGGGTGTCAGTGATGGGTCCATGTGGATCTTGCATGGTAACGTGGCGTTCCCTCCTCGCCTCGACACCACCTTCGATTGGTCTGTCGACACTGAGAGTCGAGGGCCATTCTCTGAAACACAGGGACGTAATTACACCCAAGAAAAAAAAACACATCAAGTGCTTCTCTGCCTGGACCTATTTTCATACAAACACAGACTGATACACTTTGCACTAATCAATTTTAAGAGTGTTTCTTATTTGCAGATACAATGAGCATTTGATTTCAGGATACAAACTTTTAAATTATTAGTTAACAATTTTGAAATATACACTTATGTTCTCTTTCCAGGAGAATATAAAGTCATGTCTGTATGTTAGATGCTAAGTTTGGGTCAGGATGCAGTTAGCCTAGCTTAGCATAAACACTGGAAGCAGGGGGAAACAGCTAGCCTGACTCTGTTCACAGAACTAATTCTGCGTTCACACTATGAGCGACACAGCAACAGCATTACCAGCGACATTATTGTTGAGTCGCCATGGAGGTGGTGCTCAAGTTGGGAACTGCCCATTGGTCCGACAGCCCGTTGTTCCAACCATATTAAACTCATTGTTCCGAAGTCCCGTTGTTCCGAAATCATCATGATGCCCTGTGGTTAAGGTCTGGTTAGGTTTAGGCACAAAAACCACTTGGTTAGGGTCAGGAAAAGATCATGGTGTGGGTTAAAATGAAAAAGAAAGTGGCAAACACATAAGCCGTCAGCCTGCTTCGCCTCAAGCCTTTCCCAGCTGACCCAGAGCCGGTCGCGGCGCACCATACGCCCGCCGCGAGCCGTTCAGCACCGCGGACAGTCGGACTAATGGGATGTTGGACCAATGGGTTGTCAGACCAATGACATGGACCCCTCAAGTTCTTGTTACCTTAGCTACGTCATTAGGGGTTGTGTGTGTCTGCTACTGGCCACAAAACACCTCGACTGAACGCCATCTACAGTTTGTATGCGGTCATAAAAATATTTGCTTTTGAGCCCCATTTTTCACATTTTGCTGCCCCACTGCGTCCCTGTATGCGCTGCGATGCACAGAAAGCTAACACAGCATCAGTTAACAAAAGCTAACTAACATAAAACCATCGTCAGGTCAACTTTCATTTGTGTCAGGTGTCAGTTTGTAGCTTCATGTCATATTGGTCAGAATTTCCATGTGGGAAAATCCAGGAAGTAAAGCAAACGATGAAGAAACTTGCAAGATGAATGTGACACTTTCTAATGTCACATTGGAGGGACAACTACGCAGGGTGATTTTAGCGCTGCTCATCGTGGACTAGTTCTGCAGGTATTTCTCAAAATGTAGAAGCAGTCCTTTAACACAGCAGTAGTTCTCAGCAGGGGCCGATTACCTACAGTTTTTATGAGCTTGGATGTGTGCAGCCTTCCCAAGGTGAAATAAATCAATAACTGGAACTATTAAATAATGTCCTATCACCTGTCAGCCTGCCAGGTTATATATGTGTTTCGTACAAACAAGCGTGTACACACACTGTTACTACACACAGAGCATTTACATTAACATGTGATTGTGTGACCTTCAGCCTCCAACACTAACAGGGTTTCTGATTGGCTGTTTAACCACCGCAGCGTTTCATCTTGTCTGCTGTGTAAGCACGTGTGTGTGTGTTTGTCAATTGGACTGATCAAACAGCTGATGGCTCATTGATCCTGAGTTGTGTACTCTTAAAGGGAGAGCTGGCATTTTCTTTGATCTGCTTCTTCAGCTTCAGCTGCTCAGTGTTTGTATCTGGTGTTACTGACAGTCTGAAGCCTCAGTCTGGTGCTTAAATGTTAACCCTTCATTTATTTGTCTTTATTACATAGTGTTTTATCAATGGAGCTGAAAGTTAATGTTAAAGTACCAACATACAGCTGGTTAGTTAGTCGGTTGGTTAGTACCATGTCATGTGTTAGCTAGTAATTAGTTGGTTATAACTAAAAAAAAAAAAAAAATTATATGTTATATGAGTTACAGAAGCAAGTTATTCTTTTCAGTTAGTTATGTACTATGTTATTTGTTTGTTATTGGTTGGTATTTATTTTGGTTTTAGTCACTGGTTACATGTTAGTTATCAGTTAGTTGTTAGTTAGAAACTGGTCTGAGAGTAAGTTATATGTTACGTAGTTGTTAAATTATTAGTTCTGAGTTACTTGTTAATGTGTTATAAGTTATTTCGCAGATATCAGTTTTTGACTTGATTAAATTATTAGTTAGTTAGCTATTTGTTTTCAGTTGGTTAAATAGATAGTGGTTGTTAATGGTTTCTTGGGTTTTAATTATTCATTATGTTTGTTAGTTACAGCAGCAAGTTTGTGTTTTCAATTAGTTATTTAGTAAGTCATTGGTTTGTTATTGGTGACTAGTTAGTTACTTTGTGTTTGGTTACTAGTTAGATGTTAGGTAGTTATCAGTTAGTTTTGGTTCGTTAGTTAAATACTGGTCTGTTAGTAAATATATTAGTTGTTATATGATTAGTTATTAGTTAATTGTTGATGAGTCACTAGTTAGCTAGTTATTATTCAGATATAATTTTTAAATGTTTATTAAATTACTACTTAGTTGGTGTTTTCAATTAGTTAAGTAGTAAGTTATTACTTTACTTTAGTTAGTTACTAGTTAGATGTTACTTATAAGTTAGTTGTTAGTTAGATACTGGTGTGTTAGTAAGTTATAAGATAGTTTTAAATAGTTATTAGTTACTTGCTCATTAGTTACTAATAGGTTAGTTACTAGATAGCAGTTTTTAATGATCCATTGTATTAGTAAGCTAGTAGGTGTTTACAGTTAGTTAGTTTGTTAGTTAATTTATTTGTTATGTGTTAGTTGTTAAATTGTTACTTATTGCTTAGTTATTTACTTGTTAGATTCTAATTATTTATTAAAAAGTAAATAGGCAAGTTATCATTGTCATTGAATTATTTAGATACCAGAAAGTCAGTAGTTCATTACTTGTGAGTGGTTAGTTATAATTTTGTTTTTATTTACTGTTTTTATTACTAATTAGATGTTAGTCACTGGTTATAAGTTAGATACTGGTCTGTTATTGAATTAGTGGTCAGTTAGTTAGTTAGTTAGTTAGTTAGTTAGTTAGTTATGTGTTAATTGATATATGGTAAGTTCATAGTGATTGGTTAATAATTATTTCTTATATTAGTTAATAGCAAGTTAGTATTTTCAATTAAATATGTAGTTCATTATTAGATAGTAGTCATTATTTGTTTTGATTTACTAATTTAAAGTTAGTTATCTGTTTTTGCTTATTAGTTAGATACTGGTATGATAGTAAGTTATGTGTTAGCTGTTTTTATTAGTTATTACTTAGATATTAGTTTTTATTAATTTATTATATTACTAGTTAGTTAGCTAGTTTGCATTTTAAATTAGTCAGTTCGTCAATGCTTGTTAGTTTTTAGTTATTTGTTAGGTGATAGTTTGTTTTTAGTTACTAGTTTTGTTAGTTTCTAAGTCATTGTTAGTTATGAGTTTTTGGTTAATTATTTTAAGTTATTAGTTTGTTTATTATGTATTATTTTTTAAATTATTAATTAGTTTATATTTGTATATCATGCCAAAAACATTGACCCATAAAGGGTTCAAATTAAATATATTCATGTGCATAATTCTGCATACATTTACACTGAAAACCACATCTACAAGCCCAAATTTCATCATTTTGTCATTTCCAAGACCTTCACCTTCAACTAACTGGTTAATTTGAATGTTTCATTTGTGCTCAGATTTTTTACATCGTCTATATTTACAGAACAAATTTCTGTTTATCTTAGTAAAAGTACTGCACAGTAAAGAACAATTGGGGAAGAATACTAATTTGGCACACTGAAGAAATCTTTTCTTTTTTCCTTCTGACAAACTCTTTGGTTTTGACACAAAGATCAGCTTGTGAGATAAATTATATAAAACATATTCGTGGCACCTCGGGCTGTGTTTTTCTTGCAGTGTTTGAAATCTTGACAAAGTTTTCATCTGTTGGTGATGAGATAACTCTTATCTCGCTGAGCTAATAATCCCCACATAGCAGCGTTATCTCTGAGTCACAGCAGCAGAACCAACTGATAAACTGAGGAAACTAATGACACTGCAGAGTGAGTGTCGCCAACGAAACTCAGGAAAGGACACAGGAAGAGGTCTCCGTCTATTCTGCAAAAACTCTGCATGACATTGTCACACACACACACACACACACACACACACACACACATATACACACACACACTCACCTGTGACATAGATGGTTCTCGAGTGCTCCAGTTCAGGATACAGAGTGTCTAAATCATTCGTAGCTACACTCAGTGAGATCAACGCACAGATCAGCACAGGAATCATCTTCACTCACCAAACTGGGGGTCTGATCACTGCAGAGAGACAGGAGGGGGTCACAGTCATGTACAGTGAGATGACGCTCAGAGAAGAGCTTTACTTCAGTGCTGTCACATACTGTAGGGGCAACACATCGGGAAAGGAAAGTTATTCATCTGCATGCAGCTCAGTTGAGGACACTGTGCAGCGTTTCTATCTGCAGTGCTGTTTCTCCCCTCCAACGCTCTGTAATTACTGTGAGAGTGCAGAACAGTCTGCAGCACATACACACACACACACACACACACACACACACACACACACACACACACACATTCAAAACCCCAAATTCTCAATTCAAAGTTGTCTCAAAATACAAAAACTCAACATGTCACAAACATCACTTTGAATCATCCTCAATGCACAAACCAGACATCCCGTTAAAAGCTTCACACTACACACACACACACAACACAATAAACACACTGTGGATTAAACACACATGTAAACATAAACAGTACATACTGTGCAGTGAACGGTCCCTGTCATCCAACATGTCCCGGTGACACTGACAGTCCACAACTTCAGAGGGAGACTGTGCCACAGTGCAGCGTCACCCCCACACCTCAGGCTTCATTCACACACACACACACACACACACACACACACACACTGCAGCCCACCCTCTACACACTCACCCTGAGCACAGAGGGATTCACCATTTCACTTCCACTTTAGCAATCTGTGTTATGGAAGTCCAGGGATGCCAATATTAAATTAAAGTCACTGAATTAAGTTGAAAATTCATTTTTCTCTTTTTGAAAAAGATTCCACTTTAATTCAAAAATCACATTTCTCATGCCTGCATGTTTCTGATATGAATGTAATGATTAAATGATATATTTTGGTGGTTTGAGTTGAAGGTGTGAGAAAGAATAGTATCAGTAACATTGTTAACACTGTGCTACATTACAGAGAAATACAAAACCGTACTAATGAACCTTCATTAATATAGGCCTATATTTTATCTTCAAGTGCACGTCACACACTGAGCGAGCCGCCTGTTAATGACGCTGTGGGCTAATGGGCATGTAGCTACTTCCATGTTTCAGATGATACGTCATGTTTGTAGTCGACCAATGAAGATGAGTTTACATATCACCTTGGGTTCGTCCTTCACCTTCTCAAAATGATCCCACACTTTGGATTTCCTGCCCGCCTTATGTTAGTGACCAAAATACTTGTTTCTCCTAAACGTAATATGTATTTATTGCATATTATTCTGAATAAATGCAGAGCTGTACAACACATTCTCACTCCGACCTCATCACATATTGACGTTTGGTCATGGACTTTCCACGTCCACATGTGACGTGCAAGGTACCCTGTGTGTGTTGGTTGTTGACGTTCTCGGACGCCGTGTCAACTTCAGCCTGTTACATGCATTGTCCTCTTTCAAAATACACTTCTGTTTCCACTGGAAATTTAACATTCACATACAGTCTCTTTCAAAATAAAAGCACTACGTCGGTACAACACCACGGATTCAACAACAAACACACAAACACATGTGGTTGGGTTTAGGAAAAAAGAACAGGGTTTGGCTTTAGAATCTTACAGGACACGAACATCGCTCTCTCGGGTGAAAGTTGGTGTTTGTTGGACCCATCCACCACTACTCTCAACCACCCCTGTCAGACTTTCACCTCTTTTTCTTTCGTCTTTCTCCCCCTGCATTTCCCCCTGACGCCACTGGGTGCCATTAAACTAGAACGGCAATCGGCCGCGTTTCATGCCGATGTTAAAGGATGCCTTTTTTCGTTGGTTTCCAACGCTGCAAGTCACTGCTCAAGAACTGGATTTCAAGTGAGACCAGGCTCAGCTGACTTGCTGTGTTCTGACTAAATAACTCTGGATTACATTAGAAATTAGTGGTGATTAATGAATATGTAGTGTATTAAATGAACACGCACGGCCCTGGGATCACATTTCACCTACTCATCAACAACTGCATTGGCTCCCAATAAAACATCGCATCCATTTAAAACTACTTCTTCTGGTTTTCAAATCTGTCCACGGCTTGGCCCCTCCTTATCTGTCCGGCCCTCTTCCACACACTTCTTCTTTTGATAATTATGTCAAATTACATTTTGATTAACATTTCTAAAACAGAACTATGAAATTGTTCTGAAGTCATGCACTGGTAAAATAAAAGACTGAAGTGGTTAACTGATTATCAAAATTGTTGCCAATTAATTTCCGATTAATCATAATTTTAATATTGGCAGCCCTGGACTTCCATACTGTGTCAGTGTGTGTCTTTTGAGGCTTGTGCGTGTGTTCAGGAATTGTGTGTGTGTGTGAGTGGACAGTCATTTGGATTGATCCCTCCTCCACTAACTCCCCCTCCCTCCAACCCCCCCACCCTTATCTTCATTCACTCCATCCCAAATTGCTGATGCGCTGGCCCCCTCTGCCAGGTGGAGCTCCTGCAGTCAGCAGAATAACTCTGCAGCACACACACACTGTGCCAGTTACACACACATCACTTAATACCCCTCCCTGCCTGAAAATAGTCATTACGCATACCAGGCCAGGACGAGATGTGGGGGGGTTGCAGCCATAAGTAGGTGGAGCATGAGGGGAGTATATGTGGGAAAACTGTGACATGTCCTTTTAAAAAAGGGTAAAAACTTTGATTGTGTTCTCTGCAGGACACAAGGAGAGCAGGTGATGTGTGAAATGAGAATAGAGGAGATGAAGACAGTGAGATACAGCAGGAAAAAAGCTGAAGCAGGAGGGAGGGAGGACTGAGAGGACTCTGCAGCAGCAGAAATGATGCAGGGCGCTGAGGCTTCACGCTCCATTAGCACCAGAGGTGGAATCGAACACGTGCAATTACTCAAGTACAAATGGGAAGTATCAGTACTTTACTTGAGTCGTCCCGTTTCAGGAGACTTTATACTTCTACTCCACTAAAATAATACTGCATGTTTACTCCACAGCATTTGTCTGACATTTAACTTATCTTTAGGTACTCAACATATTAAGATTTTATTTAGAGAAAATTATGAAAAACTTTTAAAATATCATGTATTATACAGAAGAAACCAGACACTATGAAATTTGAGCTTCAATGAATAATCAGTTGGTTGACGTGTCAATTATTAAAAAAATTAATCAACTTTTTGATAATGGATTAATCATTAATGCAGAATTTAGTTAAACACTTCATAGTTTCAGCTCCTCAAATATGACAATTTGACTTTAAGTGAAAGAACCATTTGACAATTGGTACTGAGTAGGGGTGCTTTCACACCTGCCCTGTTCGGTTCAGTTCAATCAAACTCAAGTTCGTTTGCCCCCTCAGTGTGGTTCATTTGGGCAGGTGTGAACACAGCAGTCACACTCAGGTGTGCACTAAAACAACCGGACTGAGACCTTCTTGAAGAGGTGGTCTCAGTCCGGTTCCAAAGGAACTCTGGTGCGGTTGGTTTGTGGTGAGAAGGTGTTCCGACCTGGATGTGAAGCAACTGCAGTCACATGACACATTGTTTGGGTTAAACATGAGCATGTTACAGTAGGCTGACCAAACGTCCTCTTTTGTCCGGACATGTCCACTTTTCACGTCCTGTCCGGGGCGTCCGGGGGGTTTTTATAAACTGATGATAATGTCCGGTTTTCTGTGTGTTTGTCTGTGTGTGTGTTTGTGTGTGTGTTAGAGTGCGGCACGGGCGGCATATTTCTGTCCGAACCCGAACCGAGCCCAACATTTTTTAATGACCAAAGCACTGAGTTTGTGTCACACAGTTGTTACGGTTACAGGCTATTTAACAGACCTCCGTATTTGAGACAGGAGCGGGAGGCGGGAGACAAAATAAGATAAAATAGGAAAAACCTGTCTCCCTCTCCCTCTCTCCTCGCTGGAAGTCTAAGACTTCCAGCGAGGAGAGAGGTAGAAACAAACAGCCAATGTGTGTCTGTGTGTGTTATGTTCAGGTGTTGTCACGTAAATAACAGTGCCCAAGCAATAAACAGGACAGACAATAGGGTTTTATTTATTTTTACACTACATTTTCACTGAAAGCTGACCGAATCCGACCCGAGCCCGAATACAATTTATAACTACATTTCTGACCAAACTTGGCCGACACGTCGGGTACCGTCGGGCTCGGATCGCCACACTCTAGTGTGTGTATGTGTCTCCTATAGAGGCCTATCTGAATTTCTGTCTTTGAGAGATATTATTTTGTAATATAACTGAATTTTCTATCCATACATATAAATTTTAAATATATTAAAATTATAAGGCATCTTTGAGTAAACTGCGAGTATCATTTAAGTAGGCTATGTCGTGGCCAGCCGAGTGTCCTCTTTTTTGGAAAACAAGATATGGTCACCCTACTGTTACAGTCCTGGAGGATTATTAATGTGCACCTCCTCCTGTACTGCCTTAATATGCACATTCAGCACATCCAATGCATCAAAACATTGTTTTCTAGTTGGAGCCGCGCCTCGTTTTCAAACTGTATGCTTTGACTAAAATGAACAATGACAGCAATATAGTCCACGATGAGCAGCGCTAAAATCAACCTGCGTAGTTGTCCCTCCATTGTGACATTAGAAAGTGTCACATTTATCTTGCAAGTGTACTCTTCTTCAACGTTTGCTTTACTTCCTGGATTTTTCCCACATGGAAATTCTGACCAATCAAGAGCAGCTTTCTCACACAAGGCATTTGATCTGGTCCTCTTGTAAATGCTGCCGTGAGAACACGAACCAACTCTAGGTGATTATACAACTTTGTGGCAACATGAGTCCCTGATTCAGACCAAAGGAGACGACTCCAGGTCTGAAAGCACCCTGGGATTTAGTGGCATCTAGCGGTGAGGTTGCAGAGCTAAAGCTTCTCCTGTGTGACAAGAGTTGAGAAAAACTATGGTGGCGAATGCAAAAATGCAAAAACACAAATGGCCCTGTCCAGAGCCAGTTTGTCTGTTCTGGGCTTCTGTAGTAACATAGTGGATATAAGAGGACAATCTCACTCTGTAGATAT